TCGGATGGCTAACCATTCCGGGCTGCTCATATCACCAGCTATGATAAAGTCGTCGACATGCGTTCCGACTCGGCCTATCACCCGGCCGTCAACCTTGCTGGTGAAGACCCAGATACATTTGTCCACGCTGTTGCGTCGCCCTCCGATACGGGTCACCTTCGTATCGGTGTCTTGCCAGAACACCCGAGGGGCATTCGTTAGCCCATAGAATGCTCCAATGACCTCCATGGCATTGCCTGGCTGCAAGCCTAGAGCTCGTGCCACCTCTGGCACGCCCTTTGTGTACAGCCTCTTGGTGCCAATGTCTGCGTCGGCTTGGAGAAACGCGCTCTTGGCGTCGGCACACTCCACGGTGTGCCCATCCAAGGCCGCTCCCTGTAGGAGCAGATTGCGCCCCAGGCGACTCATCGTCGGGGAGGCTGTCTGTAACAGCCTGGCTCCTGTTCTGGCATCCCGCTTCTCCAGGTCCGGGTGCTTATAGCCGATGAGGATCACTCTGGCCTTTGCCTTCATCAGCCCGCCTTTGCGGACTGTCTTGTCTCCTGGAGAGGCTGGCTCGCTGAGTGGCTTCCAGGTCAACAGCCACCGCATTGGGATGATCCGGTCCCGCATGGTCTCCTCATCGAACTGCTCGCGGGCAGCGCGAAGAGCTTGGCTGCGGATGACCTCCGAGACCTCCTTAGCCATTGCCTCTTCCATGTTTGCCTTTTCATCGGCCGTCAGGTTCTTAAAGTTAACCTCCTTAGAGGCCTTGGGTCCGACCAGCTTCTCCTTCGTGTAGATTGACCCTCCAGCCACGAAGGCATTGAGGTCGTCCACGTCGAACTCAATGGTCATGGCTTCCTCGCCTTTGTCACATGCCTCCAGAACCTTGCTCACCAGCTTCTTCTCGGAGGCTCGACATTCTTCAGCCTCGGCCTTCACTTGCTTGATATACTCGTCTTCCTCAAGTTGCCGCTCGAGCTTCCGAATGCGCTCCTTCACCAGCTGGTAGACCTCCTCGTTGAGGTAGAAGTTGGCCACCTCAGCAAATGCCTCTGTCTTGGCCTGTAGTGCTTCTGCGCTGGCTGCCTTCTCCTCAGCGGTGTCCTCAGCTGCCATATCGTAGTATTCTGGACCTGTGGCAAGCATGACCTGTTCGTGGCTACTAACGGCCTTCTCCGTGGATCCTTGAGCTGGTCGGGATTCTGCTATGGACTCTGTCTTCACAGCCACAGCATCTGCTCCCCTATTGGGAGCCACCTCTGTCACGGCCAAAGCCTCCATGGATCCTTGAGCTGGTTGGGATTCTGCCTTGGACTCTGTTTTCACCGCCACGTTGGCTTGATGCTCGGCAGCCGGGGCTTCCTTAGAAGCCTCTTCCGTTCCTTCTGCACTTGCAGAGCCTTTGGCTGTCCCAGCCGGTGGGCCGCTCCTCGACCTGTCTGGTCCTCTTCCAGACGACCTGGCTCTGCTGCGGCCCCGCTCTTTGATGCACTCCACCGGCTCTGGCTCCATAGGTCGCTTTGCTGCTGGCTGAAATGCCAGCATTGTCTTTCCTTTCCATTCGTAAGGAAGGGGCCTGTCTGGCTGCTTGTCCGACTGCCGTGGCCCTTTGTACTCATCCATAAAGGACCCACGAGCACCTGTTCCTTTCTGCAGCCATTGAGTCACCCTCTTCCCTGTCAGCTGTCCAGGTTCCACAGGTAAGGGCATGTTGCCAGGAGGGACGAAGAGCTTAGTCCTCCACGAGTTATGGTGCCGTATCAGCATCCTCGCCTCGTCGTCCACCTCCCACGTGTCAGGCACAGGCGTAGAAGGCTCCGGGAGTCTTGTCAGCAGGGGCAATCCATCCTTTCTGCGTCCTTCGTTGGCGCCCTGAAGTTGTTGCCACCGCGTAACCATCTCCTGGACCGTCTGTTGCCTCTCCTGAGAGCGGCTCCGTTCCTCCCTCGAGAGTCTTTTCTCTCTCGACCTCAAGCGGTCTGCCCAAGTGTCAGCAGCCTCCTCAACTCCTCTGAGCCACTCAGCTGGTGGCTGCGCTGAGGAGAGTGACCTCTCCACCTCTGGGGCACCGCCTGGAAGGGGTTCCTCTGGAAGATCCAAGTCCTCCTCCATGCCCTTGCCCTCGACGGTCACATCTGTCCATCTACTAAGGGCTCGGAGTTGGTCCTGCACCGGCTTCGTCACCGCCTCGCCTCTGCTCAGAAGCTCGGAGATCACTTCCTGCTCGCTCGCGAAGCGTAGCTGCTCTGGTGCACATCTCCAAAGCGAGGCTCCAATGAGAACCCAAAGCACAGAGGATCTCCCCTCAGGGAGAACGGCCGGCTCAATAAGAGCTATTCGCCCTGGCCCTATGAACCGGGGTTCCGGATTCACACGGCCCTTCCTGGACTTCAGCGTGGCCTTGCGCCAAACACAGACCCAGTCTCCCAATTGGAAACTATTGGCTGGCCTTGGAGCGGCGTTATGTAGTCGGGTGAATGCTTCTCGCGCCGACTCTTGCCGATGGATTTCTTCGGCCTTGTCTCGGAGCCTCTGAAGGTTCCAGAAGTTCGCCGGCTTCTCCATGATCTCCTTGTTGACCTTCAAGGGGTCCAAGGCCAGCTCGTCCCTCTCATAGTGCGCTGGGTCCACGCCATAGGCCCACTGTATGGGAGTGAAGCCTTTCACCTTCAAGGTGTGGTTGGCCGCCATGGCCGCAAGGTGTCCCACCACCGATGGTGGTACATTGGGCTCCTGGTTGCGAATCTTCTTCATGGTCTTCTTTGTCGCCTTCACCGCCACCTCGACACTACCTAGCTGCCAGTGTGCTTCCCCGGGGGTCACCGACAGGCCTATGCCTACACTCGACAGAAACTCCGGAAAGTCACCATAGGCCAGGCTGGTCTGTGGATCGCACAGGACCCACTCCGGTCGGGGTCGGTGCTGCAACCAGGTCGAGGCAAACACCTCAATGAACTTGAGCCCTGGGTCAGTCCCAGACTCACTCATCTTGCCGCACCATAGCAGCTCCACAGCTTGAAACCTCATGGTCAAATCGATCATCAAGAGAAACCGTGCCTTCATCTTGAGCTCATAGAACGGCATCTCAAAGACATCGATGCCAACAAACTGCCACGGCTGTGGCTTGGTCCCGATGGAGACCGGCAGCACCAACTGCTCGCCCCGCTTTGCATCAATGCAGGCCTGGCACGTCAGGTTCTTGGCCTCCTCCACCACCCAATTGGGCATTCCGCGGTCCCGGCAGATTCTTGCCAGCCCACGGTTAGGTGGATGTCCGGCGGCCTTATGCAGGCGGTGCAGCAGCTTCTGTGCTTTCTCCACCATCTCCTTTGGAATCGGGACCCCCTCAGGAGTCGCAGCGGCAACTTCCTCATCTGCTGCCATCTCCTGAGCCATGGCATAGATGCTGTTGAGGCGTCTCTCGTCGACGGTCTGCTCGTGCTGCCACTGTCCGGTCCAGTGGCCTGCAAGCTTTACCACGAATGGCCCAGGGTAGCTCACTTCCTCCATGATCTCCCTGGTCGCCTGGCTCCAGGACGCCTCGGGCACGTGCCTGTGCTTGCCGTCACACGGCGTGTTAAACTTCCGGTGGAAGGCCTCGTCCGTGTGGAGTATCCACCACGTCTT